GTTGCTCGTTAAGCTGGAGAAGGTCTCCTTCTGCCTGTCTCCTTTTCAGCTCTTCTATTTCTATTTCTCTTTTTCTTGTCTCCAGCTTCTTCTGCTCCAACATAAACTCCTCGCGAGCCCGCGCCAGCTGCCCCTCGTCTGCTTGCTGCTGCAGCTCCTGCAGCTTAGCTTCGTACTCCTATAGTGCAGCAGCAGCAGCAGCAGCAACAGCAACAACAGCAGCAACGGCAACAGCAGCAGTAGCGCAGCTTTAGTAGCAAGAGCAGTAGCAGGTGAAGCAGCAGTACAGGCAGCAGCATCAGCAGCAGCAGCTACCGCAACAGCAGCAGCAAGAGCAGCAGAAGCTACAGCAGCAGCAGCAGCAGCTACAGCAGCAGCAGCAGCAGTTTCAGCAGCAAGTTCAGCAAGAGCAGTAGCTGCTTTTGCTGTTTTATGAGCAGCAGCACGGGGTGAGCTCTCTTATAGTTTTTTTTATACTGAGTTTGTTGCAGTGTCTCCTTTTGCATCTGCTGCTGTGTTTGTTTTAATTTGTTTCTTTCTATTATTTCTTTCTATTCTTTTATTTATTATTATTTGTTTACTCTATCGTTTATTTATTTATTTATTTATTTACTTCTTTTTGTTTCTGTAGGGCTTGCTGGGCCTCTTGTAGTTTTTGTTTATACTGCGTTCGCTGCATTGTCTCCTTTTGCATCTGCTGCTGTGTCTCCTCCATGCCGGAGACAGTCCCCTGGTTGCATGCGAGCTCTTGCATGCATACATCATAAGTAAAGTAAGAGAGGAGTTCTTCTCTTGTTTGTCCTTTTGCTTTATATGTTTCTCCTTCTTTTGCTTCTGTTGTTTCTGTTTCTGTTTCTTTTTCTGTTTTTGTTGATGGGATAAAAACAAGGAAAACATAGTTCTGGCCTATCACAACTCTATCGCCAGAATGTAGTTTAATTTTTTCTCCTTTTTCTGTCTCTTTTCCATTAACAAATGTATTTCCTGCTCCATCTAAAACATAAAGAGCTGCTGCACTGTCTCCTTCTCCTGTCTCCCCCTCCTGCTGCTGCTGCTCTAGCTGCAGGTAGCAGTGGTTATGCGATAAGCCAGAGCCAGAGAGACACACAAGGGGACACTTGTCTCCTTCTTTCTTTCCTACTGTTAGCTTCTCTGGTGCTGCTGGTAGTTTAAAAGACAAAGACCCAGACAGCAGCGGGTCTTCTGTTAGCAAAGTTATGTGGGGAACGCTGCTCCAGTCGGGCGCTGCACACACTCAAACCCTAAACCCTAAACCCTAAACCCTAAACCCTAAACCCTACACCGTAAACCCTAAACTCTAGCGAATATGAGATGTAGCCAACAAGGGAATGTGAGAGACGCAGGCAACGTAGACGAGTTACATAGA